GTTGCATAGCTCATAATACGAATTTCACTTTCGATCTTCGATAACCATATAAAAAATTTTCAGAATTTTTTTTTTATATGAAAAAAATGCGAAGGACGGTCAACAAAAAAATTCTCAAAAATCAACGTGGATTTTTAGATATTTGAAATTCGCACATTATTATATTAAAATTGAATGGGCTATAACGCTGCATACCTGAATTCTTTTTAGAAATTCGTATTAAAAAGTTCGCGATTTTGCTGAAACTGCACATTTTTCTTAATTTTCGTACACTGTTGCTAAAATATAGGCAATATTTTAACACAAAATTAACAACAAGATTTTAGCATGTAAAACATTGCGAATATTAACAAAAAAGAGCCGTACGCTCAATTCGGCAGTAACAGTATGTATGTATGTATGCATATAAAATGGTAGCCGTTTTCGCATTCCGATTTTAAGCCCTTCAAATTAGGCAAAAAGCTCTGGTTATGAATATTCAAACAATTTAGATTTGTTTATGAAGGATAGAAAACTTAGAATTTATCTTAAGTTGAATAGCTTATAATAATTGCATCACTAAAAAATCAAAAATTGTACTTAAGCAGGTGGTTCATCTTCAGTTTTTCTCAAAAATTCGACTATTCGGCCTCGGTATTCTTTCGTTACATTTATTCGTACTACGAGTTTTTCGACCTCTTCGTCTTGTTGAATTTTATGAACGCCTCTTATGTGCCGCTTTGTTCTAGAAAAAATCAATAAATAGAAAATACAGATTTATGTGTGTAATTACAGAAACTTTGGATTTATTGACTAGTAATGGTATTTTAATATATAGTATAATTTAAGAAAAAAACACGTAAACATAGCGCTCGTTTACTGGAAAAACGTCACAAAACATCAAATAATTAATCACTAAAAATTAAACAAATATGAAATACATACCAGAGGACAGAAAAACATCAAACCTTAATTTCCTTTCTTACTTTGCTGAAAAACTATTTGTGTTTTAGTTATACAGCTATATAACTGCATATATATACAGTGCTGGCTAAATAAATAGGGACATGACATTTTAACAAATTGTTCCTACTTTTCTTCTGTTTAATATATATTACTTTTTTATAAAAGTATAGTTCATTATCTAACAAAAACCATATAAATTCATATTTCAAACATTGTGCAAAAATTATAAAAATATTTATAAAAAATGTGAATGTGTTTGTTTGGTGGGTTGGTAGAAGCGTCGCCTGGGTATGTTCCCGGGACCAAATTAGTGCTGAAAGCACCATTTTGATACGCTTTCTCTGGGATCCCTGATTCTATCTGCTTTCATGATTCGTTGGGTTCGTTAAACCATTTGGATTTTCCGATGAATCTATTTAGGTTAGTAATGGTTAATTTGGAAATTTCCCCAAGATTTTGGATGGAAAAACTCCCGAGTGTAATCTGCCTTATCTGTGCCAATGCTGGGCACTCGCGAAGATAGTGAAGGACCGTTTTCTTACTTCCCACAAGATTACAGCTACGGCACCGAGGGTTATACAGAAGGCCCATTCTAGCTGCATGTTCACCAATGGGACAATGACCCGTTATCGTGGCTATTAATTTGACTATATCTTTCCTCGACCTCTTCAGAAGTTCTTCTGTCTTTGGCTTGTCATAGTGCGGCCATATGTACCTCGCAGTTTTTCAGGTTTGAAGGTTGTTCCAACGTGTATCAGCCATACGTGTGAATTGCAGATGCATTTCCCTTTTGATGAGTCCGAGTGGACAATTTATAGTTTCTGCTTCGGATTCATCCAAAGATGCTCCGGCCTTAGCCAACTCGTCAGCACTCTCATTGCCGTGTATCTTCCTACGGCAAGGAACCCAGATGAGAGTGATGTCTATTAACTCGGCCGCCGAGCTTAACGCACATTTGCAATCTCTGACTGTATTGGATTTTGTTACCGGTGAGGCAAGTGCCAGAAGTGCCGCTTGACTATCTGAAAAAATGTATGCTTTTCGTACACCTACGCAGTTCCTCTCTAGTGCTTGACAGGCCCTTTCGATGCCCAGTACTTCCGCTTGAAAGATGCTAGCAAAGTCAGGTAGTCGAAACGAGAGAGAGACATTCAGCGTTTCAGAGAACACCCCCGCACCCACACCGCAGTCCATTTTGGACCCGTCAGTGTAGATTTCAGTGGAATTCTCTCGACTATCCTGCGCCTACTCCAATCCCGTCTTGAAGGAAACTTCACCTGAAAGCTTTTCCTGAAATCTGTCGTAGGAGGTATATAATCTGATTGTTTCCCTGATTCGATAAGCTTGTCAAGAATACCACTATGGCCGTGCTGCAGCGCGTGACTGCCGCAGACGCAGCAGTTTCGCGGATATGGAGTTCTATGGGTAGCTGATGCAGGATTACATTAAGCGCATCAGATGGGCACGACTAGTGATAGAACTTTTTAGAAAAGTATCGATACTTGTACTCACATAGAGTACTCTAAAGAAGAATCGATGCCAGTACTCATATTTGCAAAAAAGTATCGATAATACTCGTACTATCAAGTATTTTTAAAACACGAAAAGTAAACAAAATCAGATTGCTTTGTTTTTATGACCTCAAAAAGAAGTTTTGAAATAAACTTGCACATGATACAAAAAAGAAGGTAGTTCCATTTAATGGCATTCGTTGTTGTTGTTAACCATTTGACTTTTAATAAAATTATGACATTTCATCAAATTCATGCTACCTGATCACTAGAAAATTTTTTTTTTTTAAAGCAGAAGATTTTATCAGCACATTCAAAGATGTGGAATATGATGGACTTTAAAATTATGCCGCCTACATGATTTCGAAAATGGTGTTGATGACTAGGTTTCAGAACGCATGAAGAAAGTGATCAAAATTATACTTACATATCGTCGTTTAAAGTACAAAACCGCGTATCGCCGTTCTGCAAAACCGCGTAACTGACATATACTAAGCAGATATGCGATTGCTTTATTAAAAAGAGAACCATTTTGGAAGATGCGTGTTTTACACTCTAGAAAATAATTTCTACAATTTCACATAGGCGGTTTTGCATTTTGCTGATACGCGGTTTTGTACTTTATACGACGATATGTTAATTGTTTATTGGAGGGCAGTCCGTTCAAGCGGCCTTCAGGTTTTTGCATACAATAGAAAGTTTAAGTTCAAAATTTGTGAAAGCTAATTTGTTGCAAAATCTGATGAGAAATTTAAAAGTAAATTTGAACCAAAATATTAAAAGTTTTTATTTGGGAAGAAGATTCTTTAAAATTAGATTTTTAGATCGCAAGATTGCATTCAAAATTAAAAAACGAAAAAATAACAGCATAATGCGCGCGTGGTTTTTATTATAAAATAAAAAGAACAATTACGATGAAGGCTTCTTTAATAGTCTATATTTTATATATTTTTAATAAAAATAGTGCGAGCTACGTAAGTAAAAAAAGTACCAAGCACTGATAAAGGTTTTTGATTTGAAATATTATTACATTGGTATAAATATGGGAAGGAAAACACTCCGATTTATTGTTTTAATATTATCAAAGTGGCAAGGCCGATGATAATACTCACAATTTATGAAACTTCAAAAAATTGTTTTATCCGTCAAAAGTTGTTTATTGAAACTACCTTCTTTTTTGTATCATGAACTTGCAGAAATTTTACTTCTACAAGTGTAAAGTAATCGTTTATAGCAAAGATCTACATATAGGTTTTTAAGATAATGTTTACTTTTAAAATAAAATTCAAATGCAGAAAATGAGAAACAAATAGATG